TTTAAAATTTTATTAATTTTAAAATGTAATAAAATTGGACAAATTTGGATGGATTTAGTAAAAAAGAGGAAAAGAGTAGAGAAAAAATTTACAATTTCTTTAAGAAAAGTGGACCTATTATATATCACTCGCTCCTAGGCCTTAACGTTCGGGACAGGCCCGGCCTATATACCAAAATTCTGTGGAAAGGCAAACAAGCAGAAAAGGGTAACACGTATCTGGTCATTTATGTGGATTAGATACAATGATGTATACTTGTGATTTAGGCGCATTGTTAATTTGTTGTCCTGTTTTTGAGTGTGTTGTTTATCTAATTTTAAATGAAATTTTATCGATATCAACATATATATTTAGATAAATAAGCCGCCTGTCGGTATATATGAGAAATGATTAGAAAACTAGAGTACAAAACTATTTTTCAAAATCTTTGTTATTTACGGAGTAATTTATACTATGATATTGAAACAATAAGAGAGTGTGACAATTAAAAAAAGGATTTATATGATCGATAAAAGTAAGAATGAAGTAAGAATAATTTATAATCACCTATGGAGTAAATTTTACCACATTTAGTATAAAATAATCCATCTTAATGGAACGGATCAATAAGAAAAGATAGAATAATTTTAATGAGACCCACAATTTAATTAAACATTAGTAGCTTCTCAAGTGCCAAAGGTGTGTTGCGTGGACTTGCACGGCTTAAATTCCACGGTCAGTTTTTAGGAAACGTGGTCAAGCATTGCTCCAATACTCCCTCCTTTCCTAAATAAATTTTCAATTTTCCTTTTTCGTTCGTTCTAATTAAAATTTTCACTTTTCCTTTTTAGTAAAGAATTTGTAGTTCACAACACTTCTTATATATTTCTCTCTCCTCTGCACAATTCCCCACCACACACTACCCGCTATCTTAAACTGTGTGTCAAACTTATTTGAAAGTTTTAGTAGGAACGGAAGGAGTATAACTTTTGTTTTTTATCATGCTCAATATTACTAGAATATAATAAAATTCTCTCAAGTCCGAGCCTGAACTTTATCAAATTTGCTTGTGTTATGTTCTTTGTGAGTGCGTATACCGTGCAACCGGTATACGGTGAGCACCGTATACCGGGACGGATTTATATTCTTTTTTTCCTTTTTCTTTTAAAAAATGGTAATAACTTTTTTATTTTTGATCCGATTTTTATAAAATTTATATCAACATTTTTTATTTTTCATGATCTTTCAAATGAGACCAATATTGTCTATGTAGTTTTAACATATTAACATTTGTGTGTGAAATATGTAACTTTAAGTGTTAAAATATGTAACTCACGTTCAGTCAAGTCAAATGCAACTCGTGTGTATAAATATGTATCTCTACGTGTAACAATATGTAACTTTACGTAAAAAAATATGTAACTCGCATTCAGACAGGTCACATGCAACTCGTGTGTATAAATATGTAACTCGCGTGTATAAATATGTAACTTTACGTGTAAAAATATGTAACTTTACGTGTAAATATATGTAAGTCCCGTTCAGACATGTCAAATGCAACTCGTGTGTATATATATATGTAACTCGCTTATAAAAAGATGTAACTTGCTTATAAAAAGATGTAACTCACTCATAAAAAGATGTAACTCAATGTATTATCAAATGTAACTGAGGCCACTGATCCACTCCCAAACAAATTCGATCTTCTATTTCACAAACCTATCATCTCTCAAACAGATTCGATTTTTCTTATAATCCAATACTCATTAATATAATAGTTCGATAATTTCTTAAAATTACATACACAATATTGGTCTCATTTGAAAGATCATGAAAAATAAAAAATGTTGATATAAATTTTATAAAAATCGGATCAAAAATAAAAAAAGTTATTATCATTTTTAACATCAAAAGCAAAAAAAAAAACAAATGCAGCGTCGTTTTTGCAACCGGGCGCACCATCCTCATGGTGCGCCGGTTGCACCATATAATTTGCCGTTCTTTGTACGCATAAATTGTACACATTCTTATTTACCTATGTAGGCAGACAGATTTTGAACAATTCAAGCTCCCGTATACACATACAATTAATTAAAAAGGTATACACACTACAAAAAAAACTTCTATTTCGGCACGGATCTTGGTTGGGAAATTATCCCAACCAAATTTGGGGCGGCATTAGGCGCGGAATAAGGATGAAAACACCTAAAATACGTAATTGGCACAGATCTTTCGTGCCAAACGTTTGTACCGCTAAAATCCGCGCCAAATTCCCAGACAAGGCCGAGTAATTCTTGTCGGCAGCCAGCAAAATGGGAGCGGAGGACATATTGGCTCAAATTTCTTCCGTTCCAAAATTATGCGAGCCAAAAGTCGAGCCAACGGTGTCACGTGTGCTGCTCTGTTCCCATCCAACTGCCGAGCCAATAGATTCCGTGCCACAATCCTTGCCAAAAGTTGTCGTTACCTAAAGTAAATGCCTGCACCAAAGTACACTACCAATACTGTTTATATGCCTTACCAATTTCCCTGCCAAATAAAAGCATAAATAGTTAATGTTTTGTTGAAATTTTACATCTGCCTTCAATCCCTTCATTACATACTCACCCCTACACCCAATCTTTAATGATAAAATGCTGAATTCTTCTGAGATCATGGAAGTTTTATGGAACAATTATGATGGGATTTCTTAGAAAATTTAGTGTCAACATATAATAAGGTATGTAATTTTTTTGTAGTGTTTTTCAAAGCAATTGTTTATCTAAAGATTCAATTATGATTGTTCTATTTTCTTTTATGCTATATCGATTGTATGCTAAAAATAGCGTTAAATAGGACTAAACTCATCTCTAAATGGCAGAAACAAGAATATGTTTAAATCTTCTTTATATTCCAATCTAAAGTATCTAAATTTATCCGAAGTATACCGTATTTTGATATGGTGCACAGTCAAATTCTATCTTTTTAAAGTTGTAAAAGAACCTATAAAAAACCGTAAATTGAGCCGAAAATTTAAATAAATTAAAATATTTTAAAAATAAATATAACACTCATTAAAAGTATAAAGGACATGGAGGCCATTCCCTACTTTTTAGTTAATTTTTAATAAAAAATATTAATAAAATCGTAATTATTTTCTTTTTATTGATTTTATTTAATATGAAGGCCTTTCCCTTACAATTCCTTTACAATATAAAAAAATTCAAATTTTTTTATTTTTTTAACTTATTTAAAAAAATCGTGTGTTTTTCTTTTACTTTTTTATTATAAATAAATTTATGTTATTACTTTTATATTTTAATTATTAATGAAATATGAAATTTATTGAAACAAATTAAGGGTAGAATTAGAAGAGTAGTCCACTTTAAGAAATTTTAACGTTGTAGTTCCATTTTGACAATTATAGTTTCATTTTGTCCTAATTGGGAAATTCCCCTTAATTATTCACTAAAATATACTGTGTTCATCACAAATTTATTTGAAATTGGAAGTATTTAATTGCAATTTTAAAAAATCAATATTTGTTTATATTTTTGTAATATTCGGGCATAATGTATACAGAAAGTAGAAGTTGGATGTATAATCGTTATGTTGAGAATGGTAGAGGATTGACAACAGCGTTTACTGATGGAGTTAATGAATTTGTTGCTTTTGCACTGGGACAACATCAGTACATGGATGGAAGTAAAATAAGGTGCCCATGTACGGAGTGTAAAAATAGAAAATTTGTAGACAGTAATGATGTTTATTGGCATTTGTATACAAATGATTTTATAGACAATTATTACAATTGGACTTCCCAAGATGAGCCGTTGGAGTCATATTTTGTGCCCCAAACAGTAGAAACGTCTCGTTATGTTCCTGAGGGATGTCCACTTGGGGCAATTATGAAGAGATGTCATGGGATCAAAGAATGGTTTATGATTTGGTCAGTCCTACTTTTTCGAATACTAATCTGAATAATGTTTTTGTTGGACAAAATAATGCGGCTGAGGGAATGAACTCATATGATTATGATGTTGATACATTAGGCACGAGATTTCAAGATGTGCTTAAAAGTGCAGATTAACCTTTGTATTCTGATTGTGAGGGTCACTCGCAATTGTCAGCGGTTTCTGAATTTTTGAATATAAAATCTGAATATAACCTTTCAGAAAACTGCATGGATAGAATATTAGATTCTGTTGGTAGCATGTTACCACGCGATCATTGTCTTCGTGATAGGTACTACAACATGAAAAAGTTTGTCTCAGAATTGGGCCTTCCTATGATTAAAATTCACGCTTGCCCCCCGAGGATGCATGCTTTTTTGGAAGAACGATGAGACATTGACCCGTTGTAAGTTTTGTAATTCAGAAAGGTACAAACATATATCAGCTACAAGTCACAAACTAGGAAAAAGATCTGCAGTTTCTAAGTTGACATACCTCCCTTTAGCTCCACGATTGCAGAGGTTGTATGCCTCAAGTGCTACTGCTAAACACATGACGTGGCATCTCGAGCATGACACTGAAGATGGGTTAATGTGTCACCCATCAGATTCTCAGGCATGGAAACATCTTGATCAGTGTCACCCTGAATTTGCCATAGAACCACGCAATGTTCGTCTTGGGTTATGTGCAGATGGTTTTGCTCCGTACGGTAAATTTGGAAGTCAGTTCTCTTGTTGGCCAATTATCATCACACCGTATAATTTCCCACCGGACATGTGTATGAAAAGCCATTTCATGTTGGTCTTTGTGTATTTTACAACTATCCAAGTTTGGTCTGGATTGGTCTAGCTTGATCTAATCTGAACTGTTTTGATCTGAGACTGGAAACAGTTCAAGCAAACACATAAATAAATAATTATATATATTATCCCCACAAATATAATTTAGAAAATGATAAAAAAAATACGGAATTAAGTAATCTCGGATATTAAATAATATATACATATATATTATCCCCAAAAGTAATTTCAATTTTGAATTTGGAATCTGGGATTTTGGCACGACACAACTCCCAGCCTAAACCCACCCAATTAAGTAATTTAAGCCCGAAATAGTAGTTTGGAACGGAGTTGACTGCGTTTAATCTGAGCCTAACGTGGCCTGACCGTCAGAGCTGACAACCTAGGTAATTGGAGCTATTGGCTCGGATAATACCGTCGCAAAGTCGTCCCAAATTCATTGTGACCGTTCGATCTGACACCTTGGTAAATGGTGATGTTGGCACGGATTAGTTCCGAGACAACACCGAAAATTAAAGGGTGGCGGATTAGGTTGGAACGGATTATGCCTTACCGATTCCGAGCCAGCGTCTGAAGTACATATATTGTACTTAGACATTTGTCGATCTATTGAAGCCCTAGCAGAGAGTGGACTCCGGCCTCCACCAGTGCGATAGCCAGCAACGACGTTTCCAACACCGCCACCGGTCTTTCCCCTCATTCGCGCGTTGCTGTTTGTCCAGCGTCTCCATCCACGCCTCTTCTCCAACATCTCCAGTATCTGTAGCCTCTGCTTTGCCGCACAGGTTATCTTCATTTGTCTTTCCGAATAACTGCTTATATTTATTTGTGGATGTTGAATAATATGACAAATAATGTTTGATTCTTCATTGCTGTTCCATTCGTATTTTCTCTATACTGCATCTGTAGTCCTGTTTTTCTCTAGCATATTTCGACCTTGAAATCTCCACTATCATATAATCCTTTTTTAATATTTCAAAATTTCTTTATTATGTTGATGATTTTGTTTTCAACTCTTTGCAGTTTATTTCGTTTTGTTATATATGTTCTTCTACCATATTTTTAAATTTAGTTTATTTTGGCTATTGTTGTCTTCTTTGCGGAGTAATTTATCTCTTATTTTCGCAATGTGTTATTATCCCTACAATATTTCTGTTGTGTCCTTCATATTTCTCGTATCATATTTTAATATATCGAATTTCTTTACAATTATGCTTTAGTACAATGTCATGCCTGAGGGGTAGTTGGAACTCTGCAACTTCGGGTCGTGGGTGCGGCGGTGGACGTGGGGGAATGTCCTCTGAGTCCCGCTCTCGTAACGAAGAGCAAAACTCTCCACTGGCTGATTCACATGAATCTGTCCAATTGAGAGTTGTTGAACAAGAGATTGGTTCTGGTTCTGGTATGCCTGATCCTCCTATTTCTAAAATTTGGATCATTCCTGAAGATATGTCAAGGTATTTGTTTTTAATTTTGGTAATCAGAAAAATACTTTGTTTTTCTTGACTGTAACTTATTTGTGTTTGCTATATTATTAGTTTTTAATTTGGTTTTCAAATAATTTAGCAATCCTGCTGTTCTTGACACCATTATCCACTTTATGATCACTAACTACATGGAGCTTGGCCTTCTTATCATCAAGCTTCTGAGGCAGCAAGGGAGCATTGGTGGAATTTATTCTCGGTATGGGTTCCAAAAGTTTATTAACTGTTCTGAAAATTATTTTTTTATCTAATATGTTTTCACATTGTTCTAATTTGAATCTGAGATGCGTTTAATTTTGTATTTTCTGATTAACTAATTCTAATTTATGTGCAGAGGAAATATAATGAGTTAAAGTCTCAAGCTGGATCCGAAGGGAAGTCCTATGAAACTGATGACACAGAGCTGTTTTGCAAAGTCGTCCCACCATATAGGGGTCGCCGGTATGGGACGGGGTGTGAAGCCATGATCCTGAGCGATAGTGATGGTTCTAGCGGAGCTGGTGGGCTGAGTCAACAAGAAATCGATGTGATTGTGAAGCAAAAGGTTGAAGCTCGTTTTGCTGAACAGGTAGCCGCCCAAGAGCAGTGGCGGCGGCAATATGAACAACAATTTCAGTCTCAAATGGCTAACCTGTCCGGGGCCCTGATGTCGTATATGCAAAATTTGCGGAGCACCAATCATTCCATTGCGCTGCCTGCCTTCAGCTTTAGTTCCCCGACCCCGAACCTTTTCAACGCCACACTTGGAGGAGATTCAACCGAGATAAGAATGGATGATTTGTTGGCTGAACTGCAAGGGAATCCTGTTGTTTGATGTTTGAACTTTGTCTGTAATGATGTCTATGTTTTTGCTTAAACATTATGTAGTAATTTTTTTCTTAAACATTATGGTTGGATGGTTGGATGTTTAACCATTTTTTGGGATGTTTGTTAATGCTTAGCTTGTTGATGCGGAGTATTTTGAATGCTTCTCCGTATTGTAATGTGAATTATCATCTGGAATGATTTTAATATTTTTGAATGTGTTTTGCATTTTATTTCCTGATGTTAAAAAAATATTTTCCGTACAGTGTATGACAAATATTTTTTTTAAATTTATTTGGATTATTGGCACGGATAAATTCCCATCCATATCCCTCTTCATTACAAATGGTTAACGGTTACTTTTGGCTCGGAAATTCAGTTGGCAGGGCATCGTCCTAGACAAACTCACTGGTGACATAATCAGCGGTTGTCTCGGTCTGTCGGAGCCAAATGCGGAGACAAAGCTTGGAAACGGAAGGCTAAATCCGATCCAACATATTTGGAAGGGCCGAAGTGTCTCGCGCATTCTGAAACCCTGCCAAACGCCGTGCCAAACCCGTTAGACTCGGAATAGTGACTTGATTTCAATGCCAAAATCCCTGCCTAATACGATTTTTTTTTTGTAGTGTACACAAAATGTGTACAAATTATGTATACAAATAGCTTTTTCCATTTTTCTATGTACAACTCTCAATAATATAATTTTAATTTATTTATTTCACATCTAACATAAATTTAATAATGTCTAATAAAACTAAGGTAATATGATTGACACTCTTACGAATGTGTTTTCTATGGTCCAATTGATGACCGTTACTTGTCATACATACGTAACCCTCATACTTTATTAACCATTTCTAGTTACCGGTCACTAGCTCAGTTCTCGATTCTTCTATCTTTCTAACAGAAGGCTTTTTGGTGTGTCTAATAGAAGGTTTAAATGAGAATTAAGGAAAAGAATTAAAAACTAAGGTTCACTGTTTATTTGAGAAGGTAGGGAAAAGAATGGTGACGACGGAAGTTTTCGATTTTCAGTGGCTCAAATGATAATCTATGGAATACCGAAAGATAGGGCCAGGATTTCGAATCAAGGAGACGAAATATATATTTTCGCTAGTGTAGGGGTGTGATTTTTTTTTTTTGCTAACTAGTGTCGAGGTGATCTGAGAATTTTTTTAACTAGTGTACGGGGCGAAATTTTTTTCCCGCTAATGTAGAGCTCTACTATTTTTTTATCCAAATAAAATCATTAATACTTGCACAACATCTAAATCTACTACACTCTAAGTTTGCACAAAGTGTACTTTAAGACTCTTTACTAATAGTTAAATCTACTACACTTTACAAAAAGTATTGGTACATTAAAGTGTAAGAAATGTCAAACCAAAGTAAAGTTATTTGAACATAAAAAGGGCAAATTTTATCAAATTATGGGAGGATAAAGAGTCTTAAAAGCACACATCACCAATACTTTTTAAATAATAACTTATGGCTTGTTTAACATCATGAATCTTATCGTAATAAAGAATTGATTTTTGAATTACACTTTTTGACTACCAAATGCTCGTAAGTCACGAAGAGTTCTCTTAATATTAGAATAATACGTATGAGATTATTTATTTTTAGAATAGCATTAAGAAGCTAATTCATATAGATGGTGCATTTTATATTAGTATTAATGCTAAAGTAAGTTAAAGTTTATTATCTATGCAATAAATTCTTTATATAAAGTAAGACGTAAATGAGTTGTGTAAATTAATGACACACAAACATTTTTGGGTGTATCCACTTCACATTGTGTAAAAATTATTGAACTAATATGTGTGCTATTTAAAATCGTTTGATATTTTACAAACCTATGATTTTTTTACATAATAAGTATCCAAAGTCTTAAATTAATGAGTTGTTCTATAGTTTACTTTCCAAGTACTGATAAACTATTTTAGATGTTTCTCCGATCCTTTTAAATTTCTTATGAAGTACTTCGTATGTTATTATGTAAGACCATATATTTATGTTCAAAACTAAAAGTTAAGAGGGGTGAATAAATATATACTCTCTCCATCCCACAAAATTATTCACAATTACTATTTTGGAATGTCCCAAAAAATTCTTCTCATTTCCCATTATGGAAAGTTTTATGTGGCTAACATTTATTTACCTTTTTTACTCAACTATAATCATGCATCTCCGATTTATTCTCACTTTCTTAATAAGCGAGCCAAGTCAAACTGAGAAGTATTTTTTGGAACAGAGAGAGCCAATGGCGGACCCATAGATATGTGAGAGCGGAAGCACACTAGTCATTAAACTTAGTATCTTAATTATCAAATATTGGTATGAAGCGGGACACTTATTTTTACCTTAAGTGCTACTAATGAAAATTTTATGAAAATATTACATATATAATAGAAAATTTTTGAAAGCTCAAGGGGAGCGGTCACCCCCCCCCCCCCCCCATTATGGAAGTCCAATGAGGAGAATATTTATGCGGCAGCTTGCCCTACTTCGGAACCTTCTCCGTTCCATAAAGAGATTTGTGGAGAAGCTACTCGTAGTACCTCGAACTTAAAGATTTTATTTCAGCATTATATTTTCTTTAGTATGTAGTTGATTTTTTATTTTAGTTCAAGTAGTTATTGTTGCTTTACTTTTGGAGTCTTTGGTTGGGACATTTGCATAATTTTCTTTGTGATAGTTAGTTGGAAACATGTGAGTGGTGAATTAGGTGACACTGATACTCATTCGATCGACATACATTATGCTTGTCCGCTTGGTGGTTAGCCTATGTTTTTTAAGGGTGTCTAACTTTATGTCTAATTCTAGAATTTGCAATCGGGTTTTTAATAGTTGTCTAAATATGCATCCCCGTTTTTCAAGATTTTAATATAAGTCGCTTATTATAAAAACAAATTAAAAGACTCTATGCATAGGACAAGATCTAAAATACTCGGTTATATTTATTCAAATAGAACAATTGTTGTATTGTTTAAAATTAATAAATTTTCAAGAAGTGTCAATTTTATTTAACATGTAGATTCAATCCGGGAATATCTCAAAGTAGGAATCAAAAGTAGGAATTGAACCTTACTCCCACTGTTTGCAATGGGCCGGTTCGGTCCAGGTTATCGGATATTTTTTTTGTAAAAAATCGGCTACGATAACAAAGTTTAGTAAGTAATAACATTTTCCAGTAAATTAAGTATCAATGTAGCCATAATATAGTAAAATTTAAAATAAAAATATCAAACAAAGTTTTGAATTAATTAACAAAATATCTAACCACAAATGTATTAATTAAAAACACACAAACACACAAATTAAATAACATGAAATTTTGAAATATTAAAATTTAAACATCATCATCCATAAACTAAAAAGGTAGCACCACAAAGTCATAAGAAATTAAACTGATCACTATACATATATTTTTTAGAGAACAATTCAAAACTTAATAAATTTGAAAACGTAAGTAAAATTATTATAATAAAATGAATATGTCACACTTTATTAAGTAATATATTTTTTACAAAAATATGATTAAATAACCAAAATATGTTGTTGCAACATTTGGAATAATGATTTGGAGATAATAATTTAGAAGTTTATATGGAATTTGAAACTATTTATAATTGACTCATGAACATGAAGATCTTTCTAGTGTTGTTAGTATATAAAACTTTGTATTAAAATAATAGACTTTATTAAAATAATAATAATTTATAACGGGTCAGTCTAAGTGCCCGTTTTTTCAAATTTCAAGTCCCGCACCGTTTGAGCTTTCTAAAATTAGGATCCGGCCCTAACTCGCCCCGAACATGTACTACCCATTTCAGCCCGCGGTTCTTGTACCCGTTTGCCCACCCTAGGAGAGGAGGTGTAAAAGTATGAAAGAGAAAATAAAGAATATAAAAAATAGGGATAATTGAGTATTGTTAAAGACAAAACTTACCAAAAGAGTAACGTCAATGAATTATGTGTTGGTTGAACTGAAATCATTAAGTCGATATATGACGTTGTTCTATACTTGGTTAATAGTAAGGGTTTTTAATGAATGATCTCGTTATTAATTGTCGGGTCACGGGTATGCGGTGTCAGCAGTCTGTCAGCCTGTCTTTGTAATCGAAATGTAGCGCTTTTCCTATTTTATAGGGGGGTGCTACATTATCAGCAATTGTTTCTGTTGTAGCGATAAGCGCAATGATCCACATTAATAAGGATGTGTTTTAAATTGATTATGTTTCTGCTTCTTTTTAAAATTAGAAGTAAAATCAAAATCAGTTTTCCATAAATTGGTTTCCATTAGCTTCTAAAATACTACTTCTAGTCGCATTTTGGAGCACCCAGAAGTACATCTGCACTTTTGTCTAAACACTTCAATATCTGTTTTTGCTCCTTAAAGGCGCAGAAGCGGATTTTAGAAGCACATACAAACATTCCCTAACTATCATTGATGAATTAGAATTATTTCACGATTTGGTACTCGAGAGGGAATAACTATAGATATAATCGGAAACAACAAACATCTCAATGAATGGAAAGTAATAAAATCAAGTATTTGTTTCTTCGATATTAAATCACATAAATCATTCATCTTAATGTTTAGCTATTCTCAAGTTCAAACAAACTTAAACCCAGGGGCGGAGCCAGGGCACTGGGCCAGACTGGGCCGGTACAAAGAATATTATTGTGAAAAAAATTACATGATTTTTTTTACACTAAAAATATTGTCATTTTTTAAATTTGGAGTGAGCCAGAGCCTAGCTTGGACTCCCCTTAGCTCCGCCCCTGTGTAAACCCCCTTTTATTACACATTCATACAAAAAGGTTTAAATTTCTCTACACATACGAACTTTACTTTGCTATACTACAGTATTAACGTTGTCAGGCTATTAAAATGTATAGTCTCCAACCTCCGACACAGGTAACTAAAAAGTATGTAAAATATATAAGGAAAATTCCTTTTGTACACGCCAAGTTTTACACGTCGGGTTACACGTCTGTCAAATTGTCTGTGTACAGACAATTTGATCGACTACACAGACATATTGAGCGTCGATTTACGAAGAAAACCGATTTTCACACAGACAAAAATAAAAAAAAATGTATGTATCACAGACACTTTATGAAAAAATCAGATTTAAAATGTTTATGATACAGATAACTCTTAATATTTTGTTTGTATAAAAACCGATTTTCTTCATAAAACGTCGGTCAAATTGTCTGTCTAGCT